TCACATAATTCACAATAAAACATTTAAGAAAACAAAAAAATACTAGACATTAATCTTTTGCTGTGTGTGCCTCAGAATGCGTTTTGTTTCTAGGCACTAAGGATGCAGATTGTAATTTTAAATGGATGGTCGTTCTTCAGATGGTCCCTTCCCACCAGCATCAGGAAGGGTCAGCATCAGTTGCATTGGAGTTTTCATATACCTCAGTCCCCATTGTGGCCCAGCAGGACGTTGTTCTTGATCCTGTCTTTATCTAAAATTTGGACATTTTCACTGCATTGAATATTTTTGAATTAATTTTGATTTTAAAAAATATTACATAAACTATGATTATATGGATTATGGAGTTGTTTGGGGGGTTTTGGGGGGGTAACAATCCACCCCAAATCAGTTTTGTGCCTGAGAAAAATGTGTTACTAGTCTGCCACCTAAAGATAGTTTTGTTAAATTTTGATGCAATTTTCTAATGTTTCGGGGACTTAATTTATTATGGTCATTTATATGCACTTTTTTTGCATCAGAAGGTGCCCTGGTGATGCTGTAGGATAAGCACTGCACTGCTAACCGCAAGGTCAGCAATTCAAGCTCATTATCCCCTTTGTAGGAGAAAGATGAAGATTTCTGCTTCCATAAAGATTTACAGCCTTGGAAACCATACACATTATACAGGATTACTATGAGTTGGAATCTTCTCAATGGCAGTGGGATTTTGTTTTTTTTTAAATCAGGCTAACTTTATTTTGTGTTCTTTAGATTTATCTTTTGTATATAGTTAAAAAAATTTTTTTATTGTGTGGCACTTTGGGTTAATGCTCTAGACTGTAAGATCAGTTTGAACCGCAGAGTCAGCGGTTCAGGCTTACCAGCTGCTCCTCAGAAACCCCAAAGTGTCGCTGTTGCCCAGAACTGATGACGGAACTTAGCAACAACAAAATGATGCTTGTAAAATAATATATTTAGGGTCATCATGAAGCTCATGGAAAATTCCATTATCTTTAATTCCATTTTTCCATGAAGTTTTTTAAGTTCCCACAGGTATTTGCATGTGTGTATAAGTGTGATGATCTATTCTCCTGTAATTAGATATTTAGGCTATTTTTTTTTTCCATTGTGAGTAACACACTTACACTTGTTATTTGTTTTTTAAGTACCGTAGAGTCGGTTCTGACCCATAGCGACCCCATATAGGGCCTCCAAGGAGCAGCTGGTGAACTTGAACTACCCACCTTGCAGACAAAGTGATTTTGCAGTTCAGCGCATAAACCTGCAGCACCACATGCCTGTATAATAATTTCTTAGCACTGCATGCCTCCTTTACAATTTCTGCAAGCCCACTGTGGGCCTGTCTGAGCCTTGAACTTAGCAGCATAGATGTGGTTTCCTAGGTACTGAGAAAATGGAAACTGTAAGGTGGATTTCTACAGATATTCTGGCCAGGTGGAAGGGGTTAGTGAGCTGTTTGAGGAGTGTCTCGTTTCCATTTTCACAGCTGTCTGGAGCAGTGAATCTCTCATACCACACAAAGTCTACATAATGTTTCGCTCTCCCCTAGGGCTCCGAGGAACAAACTGTCGTGTATGTTGTCGGGAAGGCAGGCCGCCAGCACTGGCAGCACGTTTACACCGCAGTGACCCGGGGCCGCTCTAGAGTGTACATCATTGCAGAGGAGTCTCAGCTGCGAAGCGCAATCAAGAGAAGCAACATTCCCAGAAAAACACGTTTAAAACACTTTTTGCAAAACTGTCTGCTTTCCACGAGCTGTGCATCACCGCCACAGTCTCCATCACAGAGCTCTGGACAAAGTGGAGAAGCTTGCACACAGCCTTCCGCATCCCCACTCACTACAGCTGGGACAGACAGTGGCATGGAGGCCGTCCCCAAGAGCAGAGCCTCTATGCCTAACGGCTCTGTGTTCGCATTTGCTGAAAGACGGCTGTCTTCATCAGAAGTGGACGCAGATGAGAATCTATCAAAAACACCAGGGTTCAAAAGAACCTATGGTGTGAATGTTGATGAAAGTCCAAGCAAAGTTCGTATGGTAGGCGTGATGTTAACACGTGCTTGTGTTATACTTCAGTATTGCTAACTGCTGGTAAATGACTGGTGGAGGTGGTGTGCCGTGGAGTCTGTTCCAACTCATAGCAACCCTGTATAGCATTTCCAGGGCTGTACATCTCTACAGGAGCAGAAAGCCTCATATTTCTCCTGCAGAATGGTTGGTAGTTTCGAACTGTTGGCCTTGAGACTAGCAGCCCGACTTGTAACCAGTATGCCACCAGAGCTAGACTAGATATTTTTATTAGTGTTACATTGTATTGTAGGACTTAAAAACACAGCTGTTTTCCCTGTCAAATGTCCCCTCTCCTCTGCCCAGCTGACAATAGCAGGCTTCCTCACTGCATGAACTGTGAGGAAGCTTCCATTGGTGGAAGAAACCACTTTGTCATCCTGCACCTTCCTGCCTATCTTTCTTTTTCCCTCCTTCTCATCCTCTAAGAGTTTGCCTGACAAAGGGCACCAAAACACCAAACCCACTAAGTTGATTCTGACTCATAGTGACCCTGTATAGGGTTTCTGAGACTCTGGGTCTTTACAGAAACAGACAGCTTCATCTTTTTCCTTCAGAGTGACTGGTGGGTTTGAACCACTGACCTTGTGGTTAGCAGCTCAATGCCTAGCCCACAGCACCACCTCTTGACAGAGGGCACAGTGTGTGAGATATTGGTATAATCAGCAATTATAGGAGTCCTGATGTGGAACTGTAGGGTAAGCACTGGACTGCACGGTCAGTTTGAACCACAGCATTGGTGGCTCAGACTCACCAGCTGCTCCTCGGAAGCCCTATATGGGGTTGCTATGCGTTGGACCTGACTTGCTGGCACTGAACAATAGAAGCAACATAGGATGGTAGCACTGAGTTGGTTTTGACTCATAGTGACCTGTGTAGGGTTTCTGAAGAACAGATCCTGCTGCTGAAATCAATCTTGCAGTCCAGTGCTTATCCTACAGCGCTATACCAGGACTCTTGAGTCCCATCAATTCTGCCCCCTCTGCATTGCTTTTCCATCCCCACTGCTACTACCTAATGCTTGTTGTTGTTGTTAAGTGCCGTCGAGTCAATTCTGAGCCATAGTGACCCTCCATAGGGTTTCCGAAGAGCAGCTGGAGAGCTTGAACTGGTGACCTTACAGTTCAAACGGTTTCGCAGTCTGGCGCATTAACCCACAGTGCCACAACAGGACTCCACTAATAATGGTTGTTGTTGTTATGTGCCGTGGAGTCGATTCCGACCCATAGCGACCCTCTATAGGGTTTTTGAGGGGCAGCTGGTGAGCTTGAACTGCCAACCTTACAGTTCCAATGGCTTTGTAGTCTGGCACATTAATCCACAGCACCACAGCAGGACTCCACTACCTAATGCTAGAGCCTAATTATCTAGTCCAAACTCCTGAGATCATCTTTTTGCAGAGAACTCATTCCCTAATAGTGGAGGGTCAGAGAAATAGAGAAAGATGAGGCTTTCAGCTTCCATAAGATGTACAGCCTCGGTAACCCTATACAGAATTGCAGTGAGTCTGAACCAACTTGGAGACACACAGTCACACCACCACATAAAACCCAGATCAACACTGGTGGGTGGTGGTTATGTGCTGTGGAGTCTGTTCCGACTCATAGCGACCCTGTACAGGGTTTCCAAGGCTATCAATCTTTACGGAACTGCTGGCAGTTTCAATCTGCTGACCATGAGATTAGCAGCCTGACACGAAACCACTATGCTACCAGATCAGCACAGAATTATTTTAATTACTGAACCCCTCCTCAGTGGAAACTTTGGTACTTCCGCACACATTGTAAACTTTAGGTTTGGGGGGCAAAAAAGCTTGTTTAGGCTTTTGACACGATCTTTTTACATTCCACGCCCCCAAAAGAAGAAAACAGAAATGATTCTGTAGAGGAAAACATATGAGTAAACATTGTTAAAATTTCTCAGATAAAGCAATGCTTTCTAGAATATCTAGAAGGAACATAGTTACATAATCTTGAGTAAGGGGCAGTCATTTAAATGAAACGAGTTTAGGAGCTGTGGTGGCATTATGGGTAAAGCATGCATTTGCTTGCTGAAAGGTCAGGGATTCAAATCCACCAACTGCTCAGAAGGAGAGACGACCTGGTAATCTGTTTCTGTAAAGATTGAAAACCCAGTTTTAGTTATCTGGTGCTGCTATCACAGAAATACCTCCAGTGGATGGATTGAAATAACAGACATTTTTTTCGCTAGACTTTGGGGAATTAAAAGTCTGAATTCAAAACAGCAGCTCTAGAGAAAAGTCCTTGTCTCCCTTCAGTATCTGTAGGCCCAGGATTCCTTGAAGATCGCCATGTGCCTTGGCACCAATCTTCGATCTACGAGCTTCTCAGTACAGGGACCCCAGATTCAAAGGATAGACTTCACTCCTGGCTCATTTTTCTTGGTAGTAGGTTCCCCTTCTCTGCTCATTTCTCTGTGGTTTTTTTTTTTCTTTCTGATCAATGGATGCTCCTTAATTTCCACTTTGCCTTTTTTTTTTTTTTTTTCATTTAAGGTGTTTTTTTTTGTGGATTGAGTGAAAGTTTACAGGGCACATCATCAGTTTCACATTCAGCAATTCATATAACTTGTTTCATTACATTGCTTATAATCTCCCCCTCCCCCCCATACCATCAGTTAAAAGTATTTCTCTATATCCACTTTAGCTTTTTAAAAAACACACAAACAAAAAATCCCCACTCAGGCATATATAATAATTCACATCTCCAAAGGGCACATTCTGCAAGTCTGCTCCTGGCCACCAGCTCTTAGTCCTTCTCTCCTTAGTTGATGAATCTAGAGTCCTCAGCAGTTCCCCCTTTCCATGCTTCCATCTCTGCCTCCATCTCTGGCACTGCTGCTTCTCTGGATAAGGTCCTGCACTCTGCTTGTACGTTCCTCTCTTGATGGTCCTATGGTCCTCCATTTCTGGACTGTAAGATCAACCACTCGCCTTTTTTTGTTACAAAACTTCTACCTTTACAA